AAAACGTATATATATATCAGAGTTGCTGTATCTTTAAAAATATTGTTTTTTTATCCTTCTAAACGAAAGGCAATGCTAAAATACATGCATGTAAATTATGTGTGATGGAATGTTCAAAAATGGAATTTATTGTTGCATCATGTAAACTATGTTGTTTTTTTCCCAAGTATAACTTTAAGTAGTCGTACACACATGACCGCACACAAGCACAGAGGCGGCATAAACCAAAGTCTTTAGATAATGAGATGATACATTTTAATGTTAACACCGACTTTAGGGTTGAAATTGTTCAAACGAATCTCTACGGTTGAAGTCGTTTACGCTTTTCAATAGGTGAAAACTCATAATTTTTAAAAAAAATTAAAATATTGATTCAGGATTTTACATTTGAAGCCACTAATGTGTTATCATATTTTACACTGTTATTCAGTAGTGTATGCTAATCGGCATGATAAGTCAATCATTGTACTTCAGTTAAATTTTAAAACACACACACACACACTCACACACACACCCACATACAAACATATATATATATTTAGATACAATGATCCATTTGGTAACTTTCTTATGTTCAAAACAAAGGGAACATTTTTTTAAAAGTGGCGCCACTTTAAGAATTTTTAGCTACTCAACTTAACGAACATGTGTAAATGTTCTAAGACTTAAGCTTTTTTTGCCTATAGTCATAATTTTCTTTTCCAAATGAAAGAATGCAATAAAATTGTTACATTTACCTTGACCTTCAGTAAAAGCTATGCATCCACCAAAACAGATCAGGAGGATTTCAGTGGGAAGATTCATTTTTGGTCGAATGTTATTTTTACTGCTATTCGTGTCTACCTTAAACATCAACGTTGGATACAATAATCGATATTTCAAATTAATTTTTCTTTAATGAAACATCTGTTCGGAAACACGAATGAGGAAGTTAACATCTAATATCAAAAGAAAATGAAAAAAAAAACGAAACTCATTATAATTTCCCAACCACTGTCAACTGTTTCCCCCAATACCCCCACAACATAACAAAAAAACAAAAAAATAAATAAAAAATAACCCGCCCCCCCACATTCGCCCCCACTTGCCCCCCCCACCCTTTGTGCCCCCTCCACCCAAAAAAAAGGTTACAGTTTCAATAAAATATAACTCAAACCAGATAACATTAAAAACTAACCCTTGATAATCGCTCCAGATAAAATCCTTCAGTCAAGTATTATTTTCAGATTTTCAGTATCCAGTGATAACACGTGTTTAAAATAGGCCAGGTATCTGTAAATGATAATGGCTGATTATGAATGGAAATAATGGGTTAACATATTTATCTCAATACTTGTATTCATACACTTATTAATATCTTTGGATTTCGAATATATGGGTCAAGATATGACACGTTGATACAGAAGCCGTTGATTAGTCTGGTTGATAGGGCCTATATTCAAATAAGTGGTCCTGGGTTGCGCTTTCATATCACAAGCAGCTATATTTATTTTCAGCCTGGCGGACAATAACAATACAATGAGAGACGATTGTGTAGATTTGCTGGAAAGGCGTCCGGGGAAACTACAACTGAATTTCTATACTGAGAACAAACTTTTCCCAGTCAGTACATCCCTTGACCGTTAGCCTGACACTTTTTTAAAGGAAATAGTAGATCAATGTATGCGGAAGCTTGAAGACAATAAGACAAAATGTTTCGTCTAAGAGACTTCCTCATCAGACAGGAGAAATGAAAAAAAAAAAAATAGAAGAAATCCTAAAAAAGAACAAGTAGCAATATTTTTTGGGACAGGTACACACAAATAGTAGCAGTCAAGTGTCAGAGAATAAAGAATAACACTTCCACAGACATTGTTCTCCCATTTCCTTGACACATCTTGAACGAAGTCCTTCACTTTCTTCAAAGCGTACAAAGTGTGAACATTACCTCTGTTCTTAATTATTAGATACCCAATTTATATTTTGTTATGTTTTGGGCCACCCACTACCCCGGGAAATATTAACTAATTTAACACAAAAAAGTCAATTCAATGAAGCCAAGTCCACGTAACACAGCCTTTCCTAACATGTTGCTTACGCCCCACAGAGAGTCAATTTGAACATTGTAGGACGTTTTTGTTCTCTGATACCATTGCGTTGGGGGGGGGGTCGAAGAAATGGTTCGCCCTTAAAGGGATGCGTGGAACTTTGGCGTGGTGCATTTTTTTACATTTTTTTTTATCGTGCTATGTTTGATACCTTTGCCAGCAACATGGTTTTTGTTTCCTGAAAACATTGAGTTGGGGGGGGGGGGGTCGAAGAAATGGTTCGCCCTTAAAGGGATGCGTGGAACTTTGGCGTGGTGCATTTTTTTACATTTTTTTTTATCGTGCTATGTTTGATACCTTTGCCAGCAACATGGCGTCAAGAATGAATAGGAAATGATTCATTTTGCGCTCAAATCATTTTGCGCTCATTAAAAAATATGTCGTAAGTAAAGTATACGCCAGTTAAATATTTTATATTGAAGCCAGTGATTCTCAACCTTCCCAATGTCGCGCCCCTTAAAAAAGTCCATCATGTTGTGTTGACCTACCAATTATAAAATTGTTTTCTTTGCTACTTTATAAATATGTGTTTTCCTATGGTCTTCGGGTTACCCCTGTGTAAGGGTCGCCAGATCCCCAAATTTACATTTCAGTGTTTGTATGCATTAGTGTCCAATTAAATGTCGCAAATATCATGAGAGTTAGGACCACAGAAGGAATTAACGGCACACAAAAATTATTGAATTCATTTTTTAAATATCTTTTCTTATGGCACTTGTGTAGGGCTATTTTTGACCAACATAACGTGTCTCCACTTTGTTTTGACATGATATTGACGTCACCGAGCACATGGGCTGTGCCACTCCTCGCCCGTCTCTTCCTTGATTGGGAAAGTTTGTTTAAGTTTAAATATTTGTTCCAAAGAATGCTATCAGGTGACTCAATTTCTAGAACTTATTTTTTAGATAGTTTTCATTTAATACCTATGTATAGGCTGGTAGCTTACTTAACCAGGGGATACATCTTTGCTATATCTCCATAAATATACGAGACTTTATATAATTGAAATATTTATGTGTGTGTGAGTTTAAATAAATATTTATTTGTAATTTTAGGATGAGTAAAACTTGCTGTGCTGTAAATTGGTACACTTTTTTTTTTGTTTCGTATTTTGTGTTTTAAAAAGAAATTTATAAATGCAATTAAATTCAATATTGTTAGTATCACTAGCTTTGGTATCGGTTTTCTTTGTATACTGGTTTTAACTCATTTGTCACACATTGTTTATTCTAAGAGCCAAAACTTAAAATAGATTAAATTTTCAAAACTATATAGCGGTACGTAACACTACGATTTTGGTAAATGTCAGAAAAAAGAGATAAGCAGTTAGATGGAGTAAACTCATAGCTCTCTAGCTGATACCATTTGACAATCAGTGTATAAATCTTACTACGAGCATTCAGACGTGAGGAAAATACTCAATTTTGCTTGTTTTAAAATACGGCTGTTGCAGGCTGGATACAAATTTATTTTCCTATCCAAAATTGTACACAGTTTTAAGAAATCCTCAAACATCACACAATGTCGAGAATCAAACCCAACTACCTTGAAGTACAGAGGCAACCTTCTTAATGCGTAAACCATGGTGTGTTTTAAATGATTAGTTTAACAGCAAAAGTGTTGACATTTTATTTTGGTTTGGTTTGCATCTTATGCTCAGTTCACACGTTCAAATCTTCGTCATATTTCTTGTTGACCTCATGATATTGTCACAAAATAGTGCGTTCAAAAAGAAATTTTACAGTAGATTTGATCATGTGAGCCGAGCAATAGAATCTTCAGCTATTTTTGATAAAGCACATCACGTGTTGCTGCGATTCTGTAGCTGCATCATTTTTTTTTCCATTGTCGTTCAGTTCTTTACTATAACGAGGTTAGGCTTGTGCTGTTTATTGCAATATATTTTTCAGGGAAAGCCACTACGCATTCTCAAAATGCTACACTCTCCCAAAGCACAACAATCCATGATGAGGTTGACCTCCGTATTGCGAGAGCCAGTGCAACCTATGGAAGATTGACTTAGAACGTATGGACCAGGAGAGGTATCAACACTCAAACTGAACTGAAAGTATACAAGGCGGCTTTTCTCCCCACGCTTCTCTATGCCTATAAAACGTGGACGCTTTAACAACGCCATGCAAGAATGCTGAGGCACTTTCATACAACAAGACTCAGAAAAATCCTCAACATTAAATGGCAGGACAGGGTCCCAGACACTGAGGTGCTCAAACCGGCAGGTCTCCCCAGCATCTTCACAATCTTGATGAAGTCCCAGCTTCGCTGGGCGAGACATGTTGTGAGAATGTCAGATGACCGTCTTCCCAAAAGAATTTTCTATGGTGAGCCTGAACAAGGAAGGCGGTCTGCTGGCGGACAGAAAAAAACGCTTTAAAGACAACATGAAAGTCTCACTGAAAGCGTTCAACATAAACCCAGACACGTGGGAGAAACAAGCAAAGAATCTAACTTCATGGCGTTCCACTTTACACTGTAGCTCCATGCAAGATGAAATTGGCAGAATAGCGGCTGCAGAGCGCAAGAGACACGCCAGGAAGTCTCGGTCTGACTCTGCTCCCAGAGATGCGCCATCATTCCCCTGCACTTACTGCACAAGAGAATTTTGTGCCAGAATCGGCTCATTAGCCATTTGCGCACCCATAGACAGAACCAGAACAAACGCTGATGATTAAAGAGGTCATGTTCTACTCCCGACTGATGAACAACAACGCATCTTAGCGTTACTTACAGAGATATTAAATGAAATATTTGACAAAACGATAGACTTCTGGCTCTGTCACCGCTTTTATAATTAACTTTACCGTAGACATCGCTTGATATTTTGTATCATACATATGTGAGATGTGCATCGCTAGATTTTCAACACGTATAAATTAATAAAGAAACCATTTGGTTACAATTTGAGAGTATATTTAATTACATCAAGGTATATTTAAAGAAAGGAAATAAGTGTTAAAACATCACAACAAATATATTGAGATTTGGACGTTGAGCAATAAAATGGAAATATACAAAATGATTGGGAATTATTTTAAAAGAAAATATGTAGATGACAGTATAATGCAGTTTAAACTAGCATTGCTAGCTAATATACATATTCTGGGTGGGGCCTAAGCCCATGGGCGCCCGCAGGTAGGGGCAATGGGGGCACTTGCCCCCCCCCCCCTGGATTGATTGGATAAAAAAAAATTTAGACGCAAATAGAAAAAAAAATTATTAAAGTAAAGAGAAAATAAAGAAAAAGTAACTAAGCTGATGTCCTGTCCGTTCGTTCACCATACAAATACGCTCGTTCACCATACAAATACGCTACAGCAAATTAAAACTATATTAAAACATTGCTAAAAATTTTTTGCCCCCCCCCCTGGAAAGTTAATCTATTTTTTTGCCCCCTCCCTAGAAAGTTTCTGCGGGCGCCCATGCCTAAGCCTACGCCCTAATAGCCCCGGCCAGTACTTTGATTACCTGCTCCATCTGCTCTATACAAACAATTGCTTAACTCGAAATTATAAAAGTAAAAAAGAAACATACACAATTTAATGTACACAATTTTCTTGACCTGTCCGCTCTTCATCTGAAATAAAAAAAAAATAATCACTGAAGAACAGTTTTTCTGACTCATAAAATACAATTTTAAATTTAAAATATTCTTTACATTGCTATTTTATTTATGACTTTTCACTATCAAGAAATCGCTTTAACCAACTTTCATAATTATGTGAGCCTATTTCATTTTAAAGACCTTCTTGGTTGCGGTTTTGAAATTATTTATTTTTTAGACAATTTGACTTATTTTTTTTAAATCGATGATGAGTGGGTCTTAATATCGTAAAATAAATAAACAATATCAACAACGTCTGTTAAAAAATTACTTTTTAAAAAAAAAATGAAAGTATTTCACAAAAAATTCAAATTTCTGACATGATTTTAAATTAGTTTAAAATAATATATGTTTTTTTTAAAGTATTCTCTCAAGAACTACTTGCCATTTCAGAGATTGGTGCATTTGATGTTGGCGTTCATATAAACATGCACCGTTTACTCTGTTGCAAAGTCGACCGGGGCAGGCTTCACTACACACATACCTGCAGTCGATCCCCCACAACCCTTGTGTGCAGCCTGCAATTACAAAGTGCAGAATACTGACTTTAAACAAAGTAAGACTAGTCTCTAGAATGTATACATAATTAAAAACGAATTAAAGAAGGGTAGTTAAAAGAAGGCTTAGCAGATGTATAAACATCATTAGTCTGTGCCATAAGATAAACAAGTAATAGACCTACGCGTCTGACATCCCTCTCCGTAGAATCCTGCAGCACAGCCGGATATACAACCGCCACTATTTACCAGACACACCTCACTAGGATCTGCGCAAGTACAGTTCCCTAAGCACTCTGGACCGAAACTTCCATCAGGGCATGTGTTATCTGCGAACATTTACATGATTCTTCAAAATTTCATAGACATATATACAGCAATTCAATGTTATAATTATATTTCACGCATCTACAATTTTTTTCCAGCAAATGTTAAGTACAAAACGGTTTGGCTTCAGTTAATTGTATTTTTGTTCATGTTTTCCTCTCAGGCCAGATGAATGTACGTGAAAAATATGCTATCATTTTTACATATTTACTTTATTATTTAAAAGAAACAAGCAGTGGCGTAAATGAGGTTTAGTACCTCCCTGGTCGTACAATGATTTTTGCCGCCCCCATCCACGAAATAAACTGCTTATGACAGAAAGCGCCCCCTCTCCTTATATATGGAAAATGCAACACCGCACCCTTAGCCTCCCTACGCCACTGGATATAATTTCAGGAGATAAAAATTAAGATGTATTTCTGACTATGTCTTAAGTTTATAATTTCTTACATAGCTTAGTAAGTAAAATAAATAATTTCAAGTTACAAAAGTTACAACTAAAAAAAATAAAAAAAATATCTGGACGTAGTTCAATTTATTGAATATTTATAGAAATATTGACAGCGAAAATATGTTTAAAAAACGAACCTCCATAAATCTCTACCTCGCATAAGGTTAACATTGGGAGAGCGGCATCGCCGGACGGTACAATTTGGACATAGGTAATAAGTGGCGTAATTTCTGCTGCTTGTATGACTGTAACACCGTCCGTATCATTGACTGAGCGCACGCTGTAGTTGAACACGGGTGTGTACGTTGTGTCAAAGCTGGTCAACGTAAAGCCTTGACGTTCACCTTGAGCATGAACAAAACATAACACAGGTAAGTTACGTTTGACCGGCACTGAGACAGGCTTTAGTACTGCATTTACTTAAAAAACGTGAGCAAAAGCAATAAAATATATTTGATAATTTGACAAAATATTTAGAAAGCCTTTTTTTTTAAAAACCAAATACAATCCCCCTCCCCCCTTGATAGCGTAGACTTAATACTTATGGCCATATTTTGTGCAAAAGAACTATTAGGATTTAAAATTAAAGAAATCCATAAAAACAAAGTTTTACTTATAAGTCCTTTACACGCATTTTGTTTACATTTTTGTAACTGGAGATGATTATGGAAATGCGCGAACTTCTGGGCGAAAATTACTTCATTTTCCCCTTATAAAAACATTTTTATTTTAGTGCATGCCGAAATGCGTCACAAATATAAATCACATAGCAACAGAGCTACACAATATCCAAAACAAATATGCAACCATTGAACAAATTATATTTCTTTCATTTTCCCTTTGAAAAAAAAACCCTGATTATTGGGGGTAAAGGGGGTGGGGACTGCGATAAGAATTTTGAAAGAATTTGTTATTATTGGCAACATTCAATATGTTAATTTACAGTTCTACAAAATGGCAGGAAGCGAGTCAGTTAGCCGTCCGAAGATTTTGCCTTAAAAAACAGAAACACTCGAACAAAGACGAAGTTAATATAAATGATTTAACCGGGTTCACTCTGTATAATCCTAGTTTGTGACTCTATATGGTTTCGTTTTTTACCGAAAATTCCATTATGCACAACGAACTTGTACACGTGCTGGGGTTTCTGGAATTGAACTGTCCAGAATGGGCTGACGACGCCACCGCCACCAGCCCGGGCACATTTGGCATCACCCAATAAACCGTCGACCGCGTTACTGCTCTTTACGTCACTCAAAGGCAGGCCGTTGTAATCTGGTGTTTGGTACGTCCATTGGTTCAATGCAGTATTTCGTCCTTTAATTTAAAGTGAACATTTACGTCAATTGTACAGCCAATGTGTAATATGGATACATATAAAAACAGACAAAGGATGTAAAAACAATATCAGTCCTTTGTAAAAGTGTGTCTTTTTAACGTATTTTTAATTAAACTTAAGAGGAAAAAAAATAGTTAACTAATGTTAATATAAAAAGACAGTAAGATTTGATCATATTTAAAAATTATACCGCTTAGGGGGGGATTTGAGAAATTCTTAAAAGATTAAGACTTTAAAATGTATGGTATCATTAATCATAATTGTTTTCGAATCATAATCATCAATAGGAATGTTATTTTTTTTCTACCTACAAATGCCAACGGAAACGTCTACTGGAATCCACTCTTTTATAAATCTACTTAATGCTAACATATGATTACAACAATTATTGGAAAATTCTACTCACCTCCATTATTCTAAACATCCACTTGCAACGATTATTTAAAACCTCTACTTATCACTATCATTAGCAACACGCACTTACCACCACTGATGGAGACAGAACAAACGGATCTTGGTTCTTTCAGTGTTATGTTCACGTATGTCACAGTCGTGTTTAACTGACAGTAGATATCAGTGGTCCTTTTGTCAATGATGTCTTCCACCATATCTGTGCAGCTGACTTCATGACCACCCTCGTCTAAGAACATTAGGGATGCTGTTATGTGGTAATCTAAGAAATGAAAATATTTTTTTTTTAAAGTAAAAAACCCACATTTTATACCTTTGTAAATTTTAAAAATATAAAATCGGTTTTAGGGTATTTTCAAAAACAACTTCACACCTGTTTTATTATTAAAAACATGTCAATTTAAAAAAATAATAAAATAAAATGAATGTACTTTGCAATAGAGCAACTGGCTGGGAGCTAATGTGGGGGGAGGCATACCAGGCTCAAGAACTGACAGCCTCATCCAAGTAAAGGTCAACATGTGGGGGGGGGAGGCATACCAGGCTCAAGAACTGACAGCCTCATCCAAGTAAAGGTCAACTAGTGGGGGGGGAGGCATACCAGGCTCAAGAACTGACAGCTAATGTGGGGGGAGGCATACCAGGCTCAAGAACTGACAGCTAATGTGGGGGGAGGCATACCAGGCTCAAGAACTGACAGCTAGTGGGGGGGGAGGCATACCAGGCTCAAGAACTGACAGCTAATGTGGGGGGAGGCATACCAGGCTCAAGAACTGACAGCTAGTGGGGGGGGAGGCATACCAGGCTCAAGAACTGACAGCTAATGTGGGGGGAGGCATACCAGGCTCAAGAACTGACAGCTAATGTGGGGGAGGCATACCAGGCTCAAGAACTGACAGCTAATGTGGGGGAGGCATACCAGGCTCAAGAACTGACAGCTAATGTGGGGGGAGGCATACCAGGCTCAAGAACTGACAGCCTCATCCAGGTGAAGGTCAACGGTTCTGTGAAGTTGAAGTGCAGATTTTTTAATTCTAGTAGACACGTGGCATCGTCTGCGTCGGTGATGAGTTCTGGGTTATGTTTGGGAACTGTTGTCAGTTGACCTTTCACAGCCAAGTCCTCTGTTTGACCATCAAAATGAAAGATCTTAGGATCCCATTGTGGATCAATTTTTATAGCAATGTATTTCTTTTTTATTTTCAAAGCCACTGAACATGCAGTAGGTTAATCATCACATTAAAAGATTCTTAATATTTAAAAAATAATATGCATTCTTACGGTATTGGCATCTTGCACCGAACCAACCCTCTTCACAGCTTGAATGCTCTTTGCACTGACCATTCTCATCACATTTCTTGTCCTTGCAGTGACATGGCAGGTTGCAGTTTTCACCGAACATATTTTCACCACAACCTTAAATAAAAAAGTTTTGATTCGTTTCTAATCCACTGATTTTTTTCCGATCTAACTTTCTTATGTTTTAATAATTTATAAAATTGCATTAGTATTTTTCGAATAGTTAACTTTTATGAATAATGATGTTCAAAAATTATAAGTGATTACACAGAGCAGATATGAATACAGATACTGGATGTAAATGCAGAAACGGATGTGAATACAGAGACCAGATGTGAATGCAGAGACCAGATGTGAATGCAGAGACCAGATGTGAATACAGAGACCAGATGTGAATGCAGAGACCAGATGTGAATGCAGAGACCAGATGTGAATACAGAGACCAGATGTGAATGCAGAGAACAGATGTGAATACAGAGACCAGATGTGAATGCAGAGACCAGATGTGAATACAGAGACCAGATGTGAATGCAGAGACCAGATGTGAATACAGAGACCAGATCTGAATTCAGAGACCAGATGTGAATACAGAGACCAGATGTGAATACAGAGACCAGATGTGAATACAGAGACCAGATGTGAATACAGAGACCAGATGTGAATACAGAGACCAGATGTGAATACAGAGACCAGATGTGAATACAGTTGGACATAACATGTTGACCCACCTGGGATACACTCTGGAGCTAAACTGCTGCTGTCAAGGCAGCCTTCCAGACATTTCCCCGTGAGTCTGTTGCATGCAGCATTAATACAGTTTCCACTGCACGGGGGGAAGCAGCTCTCTTGGAGAGGTCTCCCGGGACGACAATCTTATGTGGTAACATAATATATGAACATAATCTATAGTAACATAATTGGTAGACATTAAAAAATTAAAAGTTATTTTTAAGGTAAACAAAGTCATTAGGAAAACATCAAATTATGCATGTGTTAAAAAAAAAAAAAAACCTCACTTTACTCTTAACAATCGTTCTAACATAATTAAAAAAACGAGCATTTATCAGTTAAAATGTTATCTACTGAACACAAGACAATAACATAAATTAAAATGTCAATACGAATAATGCAAGATACATGACAATGACAAGCGCAAATTGCGGGGTTTATTACGAGCATTCATTGACGTTATCAACAGCAATTTAAAACAAACAATGTTAAAATTGATGGCAATGAAAATGAGAATGTCAGAGCTGAAATATGAATATATTCAGTAGTTAGTAAACAAGGACTTAAAGCAGCGGTTCTCAAACTGTGGAGCGAGACCCCTTTGGTGGTCGAAAGACCCTTACACTAGGGTTGGCTAAAACCATCGGAAACACATTCATAAAATGGTAATGAAAATAGTTTTATGGTTTGGGGTCACCACAACATGCGGCATTGTACTAAAGAGTCGTGGCTTTAGGAAGGTTGAGAACCACTGAGATAAAGGTTATAAGCCAGGAATCATCTTTACTTGCAAAGAAAAGTGAGTGCACATAATAGGAATCCATATTACATTGCAAGTCTTAGTGTTAAAACAAAAGGGTGTAAAACAAATATTTCACTACTTTAAAAGTTGTTGCCGTATGTAAAATATAATTCAAATAACAGATTGTTTATAATTTACCACGTAACCATTGACTATGTTATAGATTGTAATTTTCATCTAACAAGTTCAAACATAAAAAAATCTATTACTATTTGATCACAACGTATTTACCTATGTCACAGTCCAAGCCACTGAAACCGCCACCGCAGCCGAGCCTGCACAATCCATTTATTTCATTACACGTATCATTTTCGTATTTACAATGGCAAGTTTGACTGCATTCGGGGCCATATTGCCCTCTAGGACACTGGTCATCTGTGTTCAAAAGATAGAAAAAGAATAGTATGGGGCCTTAAAAAAAGGGGGTGGGGGTGTGGCAAATCTCCAGACACACTAACGTGCAATGATCACCTGAAAGTCTCTTTTTTAAATTAAAATCTCTTATTTCCTGAATGTCTCTCATTAATTAACTGTTACTCATTACCTGAATGACTATTATGACCTGAATGTCTCTCATTGCTAGAAGTCTCTTATAAACTGAATGTCTCTTACTACTTGAATGTCTCTCTTTACCTCCATATCTCTTATCATGGATTTGATTCCAATTCAATTAGATTACATTATTTTTAAATGCTTATTGTATTGGGCGCTACTTTTCGACCAGTTCCATCATCATAAAAGAGTACAACCCCCCCCCCCCGCCAATCCCCCATGACGATAAGGACTGATGTCTAAGAGAGCTTGAATTCCTTCCTTGGAGACAAAAAGCAAACTTCCGGTCTCCATGCAAAGATTTTGTGGGGCAGGCCAGAATGCTCTGCTGTAGCGCTATTCGTGATGATGATGGCAAATATCATTATTAGCTTTTTGGTGTGACTATCGTTTTAGAAATGAATGAAATCCCAGGCAGACATTACTAATCCAGCAGTATCAATATGAATTCACTTGTCGGGAATGTGTGCTACATTCTAAAACTAACGCACAGCAAGCTATTTTAAGATGTTCTAACCCACTTACATCCGTACAATTCAACTTCGCACAACGTTAGCACTGATTCCCTGTTATGTGCTGATATGTTCACAAGATACGCCTCCACAAAATCTGGTGTGGTCAGATTGTATATAACTTCCCCTTTAAATGTGATGCTAGGTGGTTGGTCAATGTAATTGAACACTCTGGCCCCTGAGTTGTTGTACACGTCCATAGTGAAACCATTGAGTCGCTCCGGGCAGCATTTGGCTCCTGAAATCAGAATCATGTATATATTGGGGATGCCCTGTGGTAAAGATAGCTCCTAACATAAGTAATGGTGTATGCACAGACGCTCTGTGCAAGAGTTGGCTCCTTTAATAAGTAATTTGTTTGTCTCATGTCTGTGTCTGTGATAGCATAAAGGCGTTTTAGCATAGTACGTGTATTGATATTTATGGTTAGCAGAGTGCATTATGAGTGTCTGGAAAAATGTATTAACTTTATTTGCTTTAGAACTTATTTCGTAACTCTTAGAAGCGTGGAAAGAAAGATTGTTAAGATTAGGCAGGACACAACGAATGGGTTCTTGGCTCAATTCCGACATACCCTGAGCCGCTCCGACATCCAATCTGTTGTAGATGACGACTCTGTTTACATTTTGTTTCACATTAGGCAATCGTAGATTCCACCACGGAGTGGCGTGATCTAATTCGTTGGTGTGCGTGCAACTCTTAGAGTGGAAGTTAGTGTTGGTGTTGCCGTCCACTGCTCTGCTCGCCTCAGCTGGTCCACCATCTTGATTGGCCGGCAAAGTGCTAGATTGAGTCGCAAGTCCAGACATCGCTAAATTACGTCCTGGATAAAAAAAAAATTAAACAATTGAAAGCAATCACGTATGGACAGATAGTTTATAGTGGAAAGTGAAAGGGAGTACTAACATACCAATATATTATATAGACATCAAGTGTACAGATAGACTGAGAGACCAGCAGACAGGCAATCATACAGACAAACAGACTGCATCAGTTACGATTTCATGGAAGTAATACAGCTTCATTTCTATAAAGGTAATAAAAAACGAGAGAGTGTAATTTGAAACAATTCTGCTCATGACGTAAACTTTGTGTACGATTTTGTCAGAGATACAATTATTGGCAACTAACATATTTCAAAACTTCAGTATAAAATGGACAACATTAAACCATTCTAGAGGCTCGGGTAGGTAGTGTGGCCAAAAAGAAAAAAAAGGAAAAACTGAAATTAAAATAAATTGAACTATAAACTTCCCCATTATAATATCATAAAGCATAGTTCAAACATTAAATCTTAGGCGTCGAAAATTAATGGTTCAATATAAATAATTAAATATTAGCTTACCTCCATTGATTAACAGAGAACAGAGTTTTATTGGTGAATCCATTTCAAGTCTCATCACCTCCACATTGGTATTGCTGTAACAAATGACGTTTGAGAGTTGGCTGGTTCCGAGGACGCTGTGGCCATCTTTACACGTCCCTAGAAATACTGCGCCGTTCTTGTATTCCTTGAACGTCACCTTGACGCCATCTGTAATTCATAAATCTCAATACCGAAAGTCCCCATTGTCTTTTCAACTCATGTTAAGCAAAGTTATGAAATTAAATATGTTAAAGGCTTTAATTAGAATGAGTTTATGTTTATTTTTTCAATTTTTTTTTTTTTTTTTTTTTTTTTGAATTAGTTTGGGTAAATCACAGGAGCTATAAAATATATGAGGGAACTTCTTTAACGTTTTTAATATAATATACATGACGTGAAAGGAAGTGATTTGTTATATGCATGATGATGTTGCCCAACATCTTTCATCACAAACTATACGAAAAAATATAATAATTATAAATAAAAGCTGTCTACTGCAGTAACTTTAAGAACGTGTATTTAGTTACAGTTTTGTAAAATATATAAATTACATAACTGAGTTTCATTTATGTTTAATTTATATATTGTATTTTTTTAATTTCATTTATTAATGCTCCCCATACAAAACTGTTTAAGAACTAAGTACATTGTTTTAGAACTAAGTAAATTGTTTTGGAACCAAGTAAATTGTTTTAGAACAAAGTAGATTGTTTTAGAACAAAGTAAATCGTTTTAGAAATAATTAAATTGTTTTAGAACTAATTAAATTATTTTAGAACCAAGTAAATTGTTTTAGAACTAAGTAAACTGTTTTAGAACAAAGTAAACTGTTTTAGAACCAAGTAAATTGTTTTAGAACAAAGTAAATTGTTTTAGAACCAAGTATATTGTTTTAGAACAAAGTAAATTGTTTTAGAACCAAGTAACTTGTTTTAGGACTAATTAAATTGTTTTAGAACTAAGTCAATTGTGTAAGAGATAAAGAAATTGTTGTTTCTCCATAATTTTGTTCGTTACTTACTTAAATTTTCTCCAATGAGTTGCAGCCACGTCAGGCGACTTCTGAACCAGAATTCCACCGTAACTTCATTGATGTTCTTAACACACGTGTCTTGATCTCCATCCACCAGAAGAGACCCGTTGTGTGCCGGGACTGTTGTAACACTTCTGACCCCAAACAAACCCAAGTCCTCTGAAACAGATCAAAACATATACAATTAATACCTTAAAGGAACGATCCTACAAATTAGCTCTGGTAAAACCTCCAAATATTTGACGTCTCTGTTGCATTACATTTCCGCATGTCTTTAATGGTTGTAACTTCTAAGATTATTTTGTTAATTTCCCTTCAAACTTTCTATATTGAAGCTATGGTGGCATCCACAGTTTTCTTACATCCAACTTACGATATTGACACATTGGTCCCATCCATCCTTTCTCACACCCAACTCTAGATTGACATTCGCCATTTGCTGTGCACAGGGAGTTGTTACAGTGGCACTTGAATTGACATCGTGATCCATAAATCCCTGGATCACACGCTGTCATAGAATAATAAAATTAATAAATGATTATATCAATCTCAATCAATAAAATCCTGGATGATTAAGAGTCATAGAAAAAAAATTATCTGACTGATTATTTTCATTAAGGCTCAATAAGTCAAGTGGGTAATTTCGTTTTTCATCATAAACTCCTTAGATGTTTGCTATTCGTATTGCCATGTGAGATTGTGTGCACTAATTTGAATTTATTATCGATCACATCACACACAAAAAAACTGTGTATAATCTTTACTGCAGAACAAGATAATTCTCACAATCTCTTTATCAAGTAAATTCAGGCCCCAGTGGTTGGTCTTAGCAAAGAAATCAAAGTAAGTATTGAAAGTCCAATCGACTTTGACTGAGCCCTTAGCAAACCATGTTAAGTCGCGCTAAGTATTGACTGCTTCCTAGTGTACCTAAATTTGCAGGATGACATTGCATCTACTGAATTCGGCGGATATGTAGATACTGATGATAAACAATTACAACTAGTTTTCGAATGGGTAGAAAATAAAAACTTAAATAAAATTTTTTTTTAACGCTACAGATTATATAGCATGTAAATGGGCGAACCTCTCAGAATGAATGAAAATTAAATAATTTAAAAAAATAAAAAGTACTGTATAACGCGGAGACGAAGAGGATGTTAGTGAATAAAAAAATAAGTTAGCCAGCCAAAAAAAATGGTCAGAGTTCACATTTGTAATTAGATCTTTTCTTACATATTTATGCAGTTTAACTATTTAAACTAACTAATAAGTGAACTTACCTAAAGCGAGTATACCAGAGAAACATGACATGACAATCAAAATGTTAATCCTTAATGACGTCATTCTGCACAAGTTTGTAATTGTTTACGACCGAGTTACACATGTGACGTCAATAACAAAGACTGATGACGATATAAAAGGAGTTTTATTAAAAATGTTGTTATTAATACTGAAAGCGTCTCATAAGTATAAATCATTGTCGAACCATCCCTTTGAAAAATTGCTTAATTTTAATAAAAGTATAGCTTTGGTTAAAAAAAAAAAAATAAGGCTGGGTCAACGTTAGGTGAAAAAGGACCAGCTAATCTTTGCTTACAATATTTCCTGGTTATGTGTTGATGATTGTTATTATTTGTGTACTCCTATTTTATAGATAAGACAGAAGTCCACCCCCCCAAACAGTGTTTTGAGCACATCGAGGGAAAGATAAACCTGAATTGTTGTATAATATATAGACAGTACTAACTTCTTTGCTGTTATAGAATACACTTTTTTTTATGATCTTACGATATCCAAACTGTCTTAAATTTATTACTCTACAAAAACACATTTGTGTATGAGAAACATCGTAATTTTACTGTGCAGGCATTAGATTTACGTATCACACTCTACTTGAATACATTAGCACTTACAAATCAAAGACCATTTCAAATTGCACATTTAAACAGGCTAACCTATTAATGCGATGTCATTGGGATGACAGAATGTGCATTATGCCCCAGTTAAGAAATAACAGCTAGCCAAAAAAACACATACATAAACAAAACAAACACCAAAAGAAAGACTTGATCAGACAATTGTTTAGCTATCAGCCTCCTTTTCTTGGTGGCCCTGCCTTCTTATAATCTGGGCTATCAAAGTCAAACACCTGTCGATCAGTTGGTAGTCTTATACATCCCAGGACATGAATGGAAAGAACGGGTTGAACTGAATGACCTAACTTTGTGGGTCACCTGGGATTATTCTCTATTTTAAAGTTTGCATATGTTTGTTAGACCAATTAATGCAGAGAAAGAAATGTACAGAGAAGGACGTTTGAGAAGAGAAAAATAATTGTAAATAGCAATGTGTATTTAAATATTTAAGCTAAAGTTTCTTTATGAGAAAGATTTCTAAAACTGGATCCCGGATAAAGATACATTTTCATTAATAAAATAAAAACAAACAAAAAAATCCAAGGGAGTCCTCCCGTTCCATCCCATTCATCCCGCCCCATCCCATCCCGTGCTATGCCGTCCCATCCCATCCCGTCCATCACATCCCGCCCTAACCCATTCCAACCCATCTCATCCCATCCCGACCCGTCCCATCAATTCCGTCCCATCCCGTCCCAATTCATCCCGTCCAATCCCATCCCGTTATATCCCATCCCATCCCATAACACACCCGTCCCATCACATCTCGTCCTATCCCACCCGTCCAGTCCATCCCGTCCTTTCCCACTCCCGTCAAATCCCACCTCATCCTGTCACATCCCACTCCCGACCATCCCATCACATCCCGTACTATTCAATCCCATAATTTTCCATCCCTTCCTATCTCACTCCATCCCATCCATACCGTCCTATCCCTATCACGCCCATCCCGTTCCAACCCATCTTGTCCTATCCCACTCCCGTCCTATCCCATTCCGTCCTTTCCCATCCCGTCCTATTCTATCTCGCCCTATCCTATTTTGTCCTATCCCATCCCATCCTATCCCATCCAATCCTATTCTATCCCGTCCTATCCTATTTTGTCCTATACCATCCCATCCTATGCCATCCCGTCCTATCCTATTTTGTCACATTCCATCCCATCCTATCCCATCCCGTCCTATTCTATCCCATCCTATCCTATTTTGTCCTATCCCATCACATCATATCCCATCCCATCCTATCCCATCCCATCCTATCTTATCCCGTCCTATTCTATCCCGTCCTATTCTATCCCGTCCTATCCTATTTTTTCCTATCCCATCCTATCCCATCCCATCCTATCCCATCCTATCTTATCCCGTCCTATTCTATCCCATCCTATTCTATCCCGTCCTATTCTATCCCGTCCTAATCTATCCCGTCCTATCCTATTTTGTCCCATTCCATCCCATCCTATCCCATTCGGTCCTTTCCCATCCCGTCCTATTCTAACCCGTCCTATCCTATTTTGTCCTATTCCACCCCATCCTATCCTATCCCGTCCTATTCCATCCGCTCCTATTCCATTCCGGTACACGAAGGAGAATGTAATTGTGCTTCTTTATTTCTTTTGTTTTCGTTTACATCTTAGGAGGACAAGGATTGCTGTTTAATATCTCTGAACTCAAGGACATTTAAATAATTGTGTTACTATTGATTTTTCAGTCGACCTACATTACAATTTAAATTAAAGAAATATGAAATGACAAGGTTGAAATTGTTAATCAAACATTGGAAAACAATTTAGAAGAAAGAAGAATCTGATTTAAAATTAATAATTATTATAGACCAGTGGTTCTCAACCTTTTTAATGACGTGAGGCTTTAAAAGAGTTCCTCATGTTGTGGCGACCCCCAGCCACAACATTATTTTCGTCGCTACTTCATAAATATAGAGCATATCCAAAGGGGTCGCGACCCACAGGTTGAGAACCGCTGTTATTGTTATAGACCATAACTTCATCCCGAATCCCTTCGCATTCCCATTTCAAATTTCAGTTAGTTTCATGAGCTGTGAGCCAATGCTCTAGCTATTTGATCATACCAATCATCTACCAAACTATCTTTAAGAAAACAAAAATCGATCTAGTAATATAATTTTTTAAAATATTGTTTAGTTAAAGTATTATTAGAACGCCCAGAAAGATTTCATTGTACTATTTCGAACGTATAGATTGTAATACTATATTAAAGTGTAAAGGCTGTGGTATGTTTGTTTTAAAGGGCAGTCTAATGAAACAAGCATAATGTATCTATTGCGAAAGCTTGGCATGAGTAAATAAAGGAGTTTTGCGTAGCAGCAAGTGACCCACCTTACCAACTAACCTTCAAATCACTCGTAACTCGTTAACAGACAATAACCAAGCAATTATTACATGAAAAAACAAAACTATTATTTTAGTTGAATTCAGATTGCATGATATTTTAATTGCGTTAAATTTATCACTTGAACATACGGGATGCGAGTTACTTTGATCCCTTTTTCCCAGGATAAGCAAACGTATTTGTAAAGACAGACATGGAGCGATGACATAATCCTAAAGCGATAGTTTCCTAGCTGGGTGCATCACGCGTCGACCACATGCTTGGCTATCACGCTTGTCAAGTCGACATTAATGGTGGATTATTTTTTTTTAAAAATTCAAAGCTAAGATTCGATACCAGAACCGGTGTCGGAGTAAAAGTCTGAAAACTTTGCTGCTTGACTCCTCAAAACTTATGTTTGGCGGGAGACATCCAAGAGAAGTTTTCTTGAATGTGAAAATTGGATTTTTACCCGCGATTTCCCGACCTTTAACGCGACCTTGAACTCTGGGTAATACAATGATTAAATGCGGGCCACTGATATTTCAGGTCGAAGAGATAACCTTGAAATGTGACATTTTAATTCTATTCATGTTGTCCTCACAGACGTGAAACATATCCTCGCTGAACAGTTAAGTGAAATGAAGCTCCAAACAGCTTGTTGGTGAACACTCACGCTTTTAACATGGGCTGTAGATAGCTTCTAATCTCTTATATATATTTGGCTTCTGGTGTGTCCTGATCCCTTTTTACGACCCTTTTGTTTATAGAAAATGAGACGTTAACTCCTTTTTGTAACATTTGGACCACCATGTTTTTTTTCTCAAAATACCACGATCCTGTGTAAAAAAAAAAATTTTAAAAGCTACATCCGATTAAGCCGTAGTATAATATGATCCAAAGTCAATTGTGTTTAAAAAGAAGTCGGCTGTGTTCAAATTTTAAATAAACCATCTTTTTTTTATATTAAACTAGCAGCACAGTAATTCATGAGATGATTATTGCTCTGGGTTAAGATTTATATTAACAAAATAGTGTTGCTCTTTTCATCTACACCATTTACTTATGTGAAACCTGCGATGTTTTCCAAGGAAGGCGTTCAATCTCAATAATTAGATTTAACTTTATAGCATACAAATAGGGCAATTTTAAAACATTTTATTTGATCAATCAAACTAATTAACAGATCTAAATCTACAAGATTTTTTAGCCAGCCAGGTCCCCAATCTGAAGACTACTTTCCCACGGATGTGCAATAATTCAGTTAATGGTGAAGTTATCTCTCAATGAGATATGATCAAGAGGTGGATAAGAGCTCTTCTCTTATCCAACTGAATTGGGTTAGAGTATAACAACATTTCCATCATGTTAACAAGGCTATGAAAAAATTGGTTTTTAAGTAATAAACAAAAAATTGTTTTATTTCGTATCTTACGTTCAAGTTTTTACAATTGTGGCATACCTTTTTATCTTTACTTTTAAGATGAGGTAGACTCTCAATAATAGGTAAAAAAAAAAAAAAAATCATTATTTTTATTTTTATTTTACAGAAGGGTAAACAAATAAACTTTTGAATGTAATATGTGGGGAGTGAGTAAATCTTCATAACTTGAGTACGTTCCAACTGCAAACATTACACATGTACCGAACTATGATGTCATCAGGGATACAAGCTGCATTGATTATTCTTGTGGGATCGGTTCTTCTCACCGACGGTAAATTACTAATCCAATTAATATCTTTATATGAAATAGTAACTTGTTTGGAAAAAATAGTGTTTCCTATGAAATTCATTATTTATTTATTTGTTTTATATGACATTGTAACGGGAGTTTTATTGGATATGTATATGGAGTTTTAAAATTCGAAGTGAGTTTCATTTGACAATGCTAAGGGATAAGTGTAAGTGATATAATATAATTTTTGTAAGATTAATAAGTAAATAGTAGATTTCGTTTCAGCCCCTTAGTTTATTTCGTTTCTATTTCAGCATGTAGTAAAGGAATATTTGGATCCAGGTGTCAATTCAAGTGTCATTGTGACAAAAATGAATGCAATGCCCAGGGCGAGTGTGTCAATCGTCAAGGTTGTGCAGATGGATGGTTTGGTCCATTATGTCAATATGGTAAGTCTTATGTCATACTTAATTCATGTTGGTAAATTCTGTCAATACGGACAAGCTTATGTCATACTTAAGCCATGTTGGTAAATTCTGTCTATACGGTAGGTCTTATGTAATACTAAAGCCATTTTGGTCATTACTGTAAACACGGTAGGTATTACGTCATACTAAAGCCATGTTAATCATTTATGTCAATTGTCATGATACAGCCATTTCGGTACAT